TTAAGAAATGGTGTACAATATTGACAGGGAATTATCAAAAAAAAAGCTTATCTTTGTAAATCACTTAAGAAATGGTGTACAATATTGACAGGGAATTATCAGAAAAAAAGCTTATCTTTGTAAATCACTTAAGAAATGGTGTAAAATATTGACAGGGAATTATCAGAAAAAAAGCTTATCTTTGTAAATCACTTAAGAAATGGTGTAAAATATTGACAGGGAATTATCAAAAGATCTTACTTTAATAAAATGGTTAGTTTTTATCGGGTTTAAAGAAGATCCGTTTCAGCAGGTCAAACGGGAACTAACACCAGTGGTTGTAATTTGTTAAGACCCTTGAGGTGTTTTATAGTCTTCCAATTGAATAAATCTTGAACTATGCATCTGGAACTGTATTAAATTTGTGTTTTGTTCAACAATACCAGTAAGCTTTAGATTCAGGTGTAACAAAACCACAGCTAAGTATTGTTATTTGTTTTATTGGACGCGCTATACCATACTTACTTTCCAGTGTTATATCATGAGAAAGAATATACTTAACCGATCTGTTTGTCAAAATCTAAGTCTTGCACCTTCATGCTACTTTCTTATACATGAATATTTCAAGAAAATACATTATTCACTATTGGAAAGTTAATTCTGTTTTGGAAATAATCACAATACATTATTATTGTAAATGTAGACTGATTTTCTTTTCTGACAGGAAAAGAAAAATTATCATTTTCAATTGTCTTCAGCTGTATCATGCAAGTATCTTACTGTTAGTATATGTGGTGAGGCCATAAATAATTTAGTGCACCTAATTACTCAAAACAGACCTTCAAAGATCTGTTTAATAAATGACTAAATGTATCTTACCAGGCATGGCAAGTATAGATAGTAGTGCTCCTGAAACAACATCAAGTGACAACTCTCCGGCTGTTGGAAGACGAAGCACCTGGATCAAATCTGGAGGACCTGGAAGTGACAGTGGAAGCAGTGGTGAAAGTAGCAATTCCTTTGTCTCCAGTTCTTCTGGAGATAAGGCTATTAGGAACAAAAGTCGAGACTCGGAAAGGTCAGGATGAGTTAAGTTAGTGTTTTGTTGCTGTCTAACAGGTACGAAAATGACTATCTACCTGTTAAACCAGTAACTCACTGACATGACTATTATTTCAGAAATTTTCCAAAGTTAATATGATGGAAAAAAAAGGTTAATCAGAGAAACAACAAAGTAAGTATCAAAGAAGATTCGGGGGAAGTTAGATTATGTGAAGAATAATGATTCCAAGTGTCAATAAACATGTATTTTCTAACTAGTTAACTCTTAGATTAATATTGGAAAGTGAATTAAATAAAGATTCGTCAATGTTTAGAGAGAGGTAAATAGACTAGCATGAATGTATAACTTTTGAAAGTCAAATAGCCACACCCCCTCACATGTTCTGTTCATTGTCTTAATCTAGTCCACCTCAAACTAATCGCTTTGGAGGAACTCTCCCTGTTGGTGACAGTGTAATCCGACATGTCTCTGGAACAATAAAACCTGCCAGGTAATCCTATTTGTTTTCTACCATATCGATGTTACATGATTTTCTAATCCTTTTGTTTTGTACACCTTCTTTACAAAAAAATATAGGCAAGCAACATGTTTGTTTGTATCCGACTACGATGAAAGAATAGCTTCAAGCATTTATCTTCTGTAATTGTGTTTTTAAAGTTAAGATAAGCTATAATATACTCTTATGTTTTAATCTTACAGGCCTTGCGGGACATTACTGAATTTAGAAAATTTACTATGATAAATT